ATGCCAGGATGTGGTGTTTTTGATTATTTTTATAGTTTTGTTAACATTCGTGGTTAGTTTAGTTTGATTTTATATTATATAAAATTTATTTAAAAGATATTAATTCTTTCTCGAAACACATGATTTGTTAAGTCTTTTTAAAAGTAAAAGTAGTTGAAGATTTTTAAGGTTCTAAATTTAGATTTCATACCCTAAAAAATATATTTATAATATCAAGAAATTCAACTTTTTAAAGCAATTTTTGGACATGGATTTTGCAAATCAGCTCAACAAGCATTTTCAATTTTAACTCGTAATGCATTAAGAGTAGCTGCGATCAACTCTATTGGAAATTTTGTCCTTTTCATTTCCAAATGTGCTGTGATGATAGTTGTTTGTATTATCGGATTAGAACTCCTTAAAGTGAGTACATTGAAACATTTTCATCTTTGAAATCAATAAAATGAAAATAAAATAATATAAGATTTACTTTCTTATAGAATAAAGATGATCTGAATAATGCATTAATACCTTTATTCACTGCTTGTGTTTTAGTGTATATAATATCAACATGCTTCATGTCTCTCTATGAAGTAAGATATTTTGTATTAAGATTTAATTAAAAAGATTTGGATTTATTAACAAAATTTAACCGGACAACAAATTGTTTATGTAGATGGTCATCGACACTTTGTTTATTTGTTTCTGTGAAGACTGTGAAAGAAACGATGGAATCAACCGTCCATACTTCATGAGTAAAAGTTTAATGGTAAGGATACTGTTTTTGAATGAAATATGTTATTTTTGAACTTCTAAAATCTTTAAAATAAATATATTTTTCTACCTTTTAGGTATTTGTGGAAAAAAGTAGAGTTGCTATTCCTGAATTTTATCAAAAAGAATTAGGAACATGACTTCAACTACATAAAAAGTAAAAGCATCTATACAGAATATTTTCTAAAACTTTTTAATATTGTAAAATAAATATTTTTTTATAAATCTAAGACAATTTAACTAGTTTTTATATATAATAAATATCAGAAAACTTGAATTTATTTAATACAGACTTAATAAAATTTAATACGTGTTTTTGATAAATTTTTGTATGAAATTTTAATGCCATTACTTATAAAAAATTTTGTATCTCATGAATTAACTTGTAATTTTTTTAAAATATAAAATCACTAATATAAATTAAATAAATGTATAAAATTGTTTTAAAAATTTATTCTATATTTTGCAATGAAGCATTTCTTAAAAATATTAATTTACTTTAAAAATAATTTAAATTAATTTAATGATACTGTACAATATATAAATTGATATATTACATAACATCTTAATAATTTACATATTAAGATTTTTAAAATTAAAGAAGGTACAGAATTATACGGTTTTCTGTTCATGAATTATTAATCAGATACTTTTGTATTTAAAATGAAAAAATATATATAATTTGAACCAGTTTCAATGTCGTCAGTATTATAAGTTTTTAAGTGGTTTGAAATGAATACGAAAATATTAATAACTTATTCTTCTTTGTGTGTAAGATTTAAAAAATAAATAAAGAGAAATAATAACTTAACATGCAATTTAAAAAGATTTTTCTCTCTTATTTCTCATACCATCTTACGTTGTGCATATTCACGAATCATGAAGAAATAAATATTGACCGTCACTATAAAAATGATCTTTAGTATAATTTTCAAGCAAAACTTTAGTCTATATCAAATACTTTATTTGGAAAGATTCAAAGAAGGATTTAATTTATATAATTATATTTACAATATTACAACATTTGAAATGATTGATCTTAAATTTTAAACAGTCTATTTATTTTGTTCATTACCGTTTAAATGTTTATAATAATTATTTTACTATTTAGAATAAGTCTGAAATCGGAAACAAATAAATATGACTTTAATTATAATGGTTTGTAAAATATTTGGTAACTAAGATTAGAATTTTATCGGTTTTGTGATGTCTCAGCGCAAGGTTGCCTCGAGATGCTTCTAATTACAGGGGTTTGGCTTATTATAAGATAGTTTAGAACAATAGATCAATGATGGAACGATGGAACAATTGATGGGAAGTATTCGTGAAAAGTCATTTGGATCATAAATAAATTAAAACCGAGAATCATCATGACGTTAATAATCGTAATAATAATAATAACAGACCAGACATTACGTTCATTTGCAAACAAAACAAATATATGTCATAGACATAGATGTACCAAACACCCACAACATACAAAATACCATAAACTGTAAAAAATAATAAATACTCAGAACTCAACCACGAAATAAAGAATCTATGGAGAATGAATAGTGTACTTATTGTGTCAGTAGTCCCTTCTTGCACAGGCATCATACCGTATACACTACACAAAAGTATAGAAATATCAGGGCTTTACAACAGCACATAAATCAGACTACAGAAAGCAGTCATACTAAACACGTCATATAGTCAGGAAATTCTTAAACACATACACAAACAGCATATAATCATATAATATTAACTTCTATAACTAGAAAGGGGATATCCAAGCTTTCACACACTGGATTTTATAGACGTTTTTCAAATTCAAAAATTAAATATTCCTCAGGTTTTATTTTTTCAAGTTTAATTGGAATGACAATACTTTCTATCAGACTGAAGTTATACTGCAGCAAAGATTCTAGTAACATTGTAAATTTGATTTAAGTGATTCATTATAAAACCTGTTTTAAATATATTTTCATAGATATCATAATATTTTCTGTTTCCTTCAAAGGCTCCCTATACTGTTACTCCATTAGTAATTTCTATTCCAATAGAATTTCCTTCAGATAAATTTCAACACCTTTAGATAGCTCTCTGCCTCTCGAAATTTTTTTCCCTTAAACAATTGCTGAAACCTCAAGATCTAGAGGGAACCTCTGTATCTGACAACATTGAATTCGAAGGCGATAATTACTTCATGTTTTGAGGGCGAGATGCCGATACTATTTGAGGGCAGTTATTATTAGAATAAAACCGGGAGTCTGTCTTTTATTCTCCAAACAACAGTCATATTTATTTACTTTTTTTATTTTTGACTTTTTTTCCCTATGAGTTCTAACGGGAACTTTTAATCATATCCATCATGCGTTCGACCAGACCTACAGTGGAACGATCGTATATTATTCAGGTTTCACCTTTTCAAGAACTTAAGTAATACTGCGGCATATTTGCCGCTGTATTACTTAAGTTCGGTAAAAGATATTGCAATTCCAAGTAAACTTGAAAAGGTAAAATCTAAGCAATATCTAACTTTTAAATTTGAAAAATATCTGATGCCTATTTCATACGTGTATTTTGATTGCAAGTTTGGAAATTTAGTGATTGAGACATCTTTACCAATAGAAACAGTGAATCAGATAAGAAGCCGATGCTTACATTTTGTTATGAATTTAGCAAATCAGGCTAGGATGATGATGTCTGAACATTTGGACGGTTTAATGAAATTGTCAACACTTAATTCAAAGAATACTCTCTCAACTAGAAAGGAGAAAATAGTTCCTTTAACAGCGAAGTTTATTCACACTAGTATTAATGTTGACTTATACCAAACAGAGTTGGAAAAACTGGAAGTTTTACCTATTTTTAGTTATGACATTTCATGCATTATTAAATTATGGGTATACAAAATACAAAATATAATCTTACCTATCCAGGGAGAGATAAAGTTTCTCAGTATCTCTTGGCTGGCTTTAGTCGTTCGTTCTTTTCCCTTTTCAAAGGCCACGGTAGAAAGGACATTTTCACGAATGAATGTAAACTTAACTGAATGCATATACGGAAGTTTGAAGCTGTTCAACACACCCGACATAGGTTGAGGTGGAGAGGAAACATGTGTTTCGTTTAAGTCTTCTCTTCAACGTTCTTCTGCTTATATACAGAATGGATATACAGTAATTAAAGTTGTCCCACTCAGACCCGTTNTCATGCACATCAGGTGTTACAGTACCCCATATGCGACAGTTCTGAGTATTCACTGCTCAGTTTAGAATGAAATGCGTCTCGTCTGACCACAAAATGTTCCATAGCCATGCATTGTCAATGGCTATTCTGGCCAAAAACAGGAAAGCAAACTCTGCGTTGTTCTGGACCTTGAGGGTGCAGCTTATGCAACACGTGAATCTTGTACGGATATCACTGTGAAATGGATCGCATAATTTTTCGAACCGTAGACCAAGGAAGAGACAAATCACGTTACACAGCTCGAGCACTTGCCGAAGAACGTAGGGAAGCGTTTGTTCTGTCAATCACAGCAACGGCGACTTGCTCCCCAGTTTCATTTGAAATCCTTTTCCAACCTCTTCCTGGCAATACACTCAACTCTCCAGTCTTTTCAAATTTGGTAATCATCTTTCTCAAATCATACCCCGACATAGGCCCTATTCGCAAGCCTTTCAAGCGTCAATATTCTTGCAGTGCAGCCGAACTGCCGTTCTAATAGAACAACTTTACTGTACCAGTAAAACTCGATCTTTCTCTGTAAAGGCACGATAAAGAATGTAAAGAACATCAACTACTGGCTTTTTAAAAAGTTCCTAATTTGTATAGCTTCCGTTGCATGCGCCATTTTTTCACCTAGTGGTAGAAATTTGAACTAAATATTTTTTTGCATTTTACTTTTCCCCATGGTCCATATAACGTATATACCAAGTTTCATCAAAATACGTCAACGAGAACGGGCTCTATATAGGTTTGAATAAGGCAACTTTAATTATAACCACCCTGTATAGGCTATAGATGTTCGAACAATGATAATGAAAGCGTAGATTTTGTTTAATATTTGATTTAGTCTTGTGAAATAATAGGTCTACTTCAGTATTTATTTTAAATAAAACAGAATTTGAGCATTGATTTTCTTAACCAAGATGTTACGTCCTAGACCCTATTGCATAAAAAATAAGTTATAAGCTACTGGTTTGTTTTATTTCAGCTCCCAGAAACTAGGTTCTCGATGAAATTGCAAACATGTCAGAGATTTACAAATGGCAAAACAGAGAAAGCATTTAAAATATTTTACAGCACTGCTTGAATTGTAACTACGACTATTATTCTAGAATTTCTGAAAACTTAGGGAAATTAACGTAAAATTAATAAATAGCGTAAACTATGATAGCTAAGAACTGTATTTATTATCAAAGAAACTTTAATAGAAAATGAAGTTCATAAAATATACAGTATACATTAGGTATATTTTAACATTATTTTCTCACTACTGATATATAGAAAGTAACAGTCACTAAGGAAAAATAAAGCAGTTGCCATTTCAAGTATAATTTGCTTTAAAAATCGAACTTTTATGAACAAATATTTAAATACTGTAATAATAAAGCAACAATACAAATACTGTATAAAAATACAAAAAACTACAAAAAGTAACAATAAATAACAAATAACAAGTACAAGAAAAAAATACAAAAGAACTAACAGCAGAAATAATATGTAGTTTAAAATTAGACGTGGCTATTTTTTGAATAAAATTGATATTCCAAAACTACAGTTTAAATTATTGGATTTCAATTTTAAAAAATTGTAGACCTATAAATTCCCACTGTTGTCCGTCCGTTTGTCTGTCTTTCCTTAATCTCGAGAATGGAGGTACTTGGATGAAAAACGACGAGATCAGATATGAAAACCTTAGGGACAGGAGACCCCGATTAACTATATACGAACTTCTGGTGTGATCCAAAAGTCACGATATTTTAATTGAGAACTTTTCCCTTGAAAGAAGTTAATAGATGGCATTATGACTATTTCTAAAAGAAAAGTATGATGTACAGAGGCAAACCACTACTAATCTGAGATGGAAAGCATATATTTTAAATTAAGTATTATTATCAATATATTTTTTAGTATTTTTTTTATATTTCAACAGATTAATACAGTATTTTGTGAACTTTTTCATTTACTAGGATTACATTAAAATTTGTTATTATTATAATTTTTGCATTCATATAATTTAATAAGAGATAAAATTTTGAAATGTTCTCAATGTACTTTTATGATATTTATTAAAATTTTT